TATATATATATATATATATATATATATATATATATATATATATACACACATAATATTTTCTAGAATAAATTTTTTGTTGTTATTACATATTTTGTTTTAATTAAAAAACAAAATAAAGTTTTCATATAAAAATAGCAAAAATAAATTCTTTAATTAATAACAATTTCAATTTTAATTTCAATTGTATTTATAGAACTTGTTTGTATTTAAAACATTACTGATGAGTAAAGGAAATTAATTTCTTAATTATTTATTAACACGTTTGTTACCACCATATGTATAACTTATTAATTCATCAACTTACCAATTCAGTATCATATACATATTAACATATTTCATAATGACTGGTTTGTCTATTTAGTTCATTGTATGTGTATAAATGAAAATGTGTGACATAGTGTGTAAAAAATCAAAATTTGAACAATAGGTTTTTCACATGCCGCGTGGTAGCGAACATGTTAAAGAAAATAATTATGCATAGATATTTACAATTATATATAATATGACAAACATTTTAAATGCATATATCAACATATTTTGTTTAAAAATCATTGATAGTATACAAAGAAATATTTTCTATATTGAATTGATTGATTTTCTATGAACATATAGACGAAATTCCGTGATAAAATATAATAATGTTTAAAATAATTGATTAATACTTAAATAATAATTAAATTTGGAATATTTTTTTATAGATATCAAGTAATTTAAGTTTATTTATAATGCATCGCGTACGAAAATGCCATTAATTAATAGAAAAATAGTATATATATATAGTGTATAAAATAGTGTATATTTTTACATGTGACATGAAATTTTGTTAAAAATTATGATTCTTTTTACATTTTTCCGACATACGTAGGAAGACCTGTTAAAAGGACGATTACATTTTACTTCAAGGCCTCCTTCCCACATAAGTCTATTATGTGAAAAATGGTAATGTATTTTCTATAATGATTAAAAAATAATGAAACTTTATTTATTAATTATTATGGGTAAAAAAAGGAAATTTATAATTAGAATTATAATATGTTGGGTAGTCTTTGCCTAAAAGATAAGAATAATTGTACATATAAATATCCCCTAATATAAAAACATATTAACATATGTTTCGTGTCAATGATATATATATAGATTAATTAATAAATAAAAATATATATATATATATAATTTTCTAATCAGAAACATAATATAACGGAAAAAATTTATATCTATTTACTTTAATATGCCAAATGAAATTATTGCTTATTCATGAAGTAATCATTTTTTGATATCATAACTCTTAATGAAATACATATAACTATTCTTGATGAAGTTGTGCCAATGTATTTCTTACTTTCTGCAAAACTCCAGTCATTTGTTCGTACTTACCTGTTGAATCTGGTAAATTCTCAAAATTAATTACATTGCAAATATTCTTTGAAAATTTTTCAGACGATGGTAATTTACTATACGGAGATGTACTTTGTAATACCGGTGTACCTAAGTCAACAGACTTTATACTTCCCTGACTTGTATTTACTCCGTTTTGACGAGTACGATTCGATTCTGGAGTAACTTCATTACTAGGTCCATTAGATTTTAATATCGAATTCGAAGAATTGCTTTTTGATGAAATATTTGAATTTGAGTTTGATTCTTGAAGTTCTACAAGTAGCTGTTTTTTCATGTTCTCCAATTCAAATAATGATGGGGAATTCGCTTGTGAAGAAAATGATGCGTTATCTTCCTGTAATGTTTCGTACAAAGTTATTTAATAAACGCTATTTTTATACAATTAATATTGAAAAATGCGATAAATGTATATAATATTTTCATACGTACCAATGATTCAGGAAATGGTAATTCTTGAGAATGATAATCTGAATCACTAGATACATTTGTTGATCTTGGTAATGGATCTGGTGGTTTTACAGGTGATTCTTGTGATAACGATGATTCTGGTGATTTTACAGAGAATTCTTGTAATAATGGTGATACTGGTGGTTTTACAGGGAATTCTTGTGATAATGGTGGTTCTGGTGGTTTTACAGGAGATTCCCGCGGCAGTGGTGGCACAAATAATCCATTAGTAGATATAGACTCTATCACATTATCTACTTATTAGAAAGCAAAAATATTTTTGTATTATAATTTCATAATAATATGTTTTTGCATATTATGTGAATTTTAGAAGAATGTGAATATATAATTTCCATACCTTCTATACCTTCAATTTCCATTTCAGTGGGTTCTGGAGTTGGACTATTTTTTGATGTATTATCAAAAACTTTCAGTTTCTTTCTTTTATATCCATCATCTGCCTTTTTTCCTTTTAGTTTTAACAACATCCTTTGTTTGCTATAAATAGGCAACATTTTCGATGACCAAGATTGTCCATCCTTCTGTTGTTCATAATAAATATTTCATAATAGTTAATAAATAATTGGTAACAAATTTAATTTTGTAAATATATACAAATTCCAATTTACAAAATTAGATTTGTAAATATATACAAATTCTAATTTACAAAATTTCCTATTACTTACATCAAGAGTACCAGGTGGAGCTGGAACATTGAAACCAGGAAAGTCATAAATTTTTTTTATATCATACTGATCTCTGTCTCCTTCTTCAATAATACATCCTGGTTCATCATTAGGATCTTCTTCTGCTATGCCATCAGAATTAAATAATGACAAACCAGAGTGTTGTAAACGTGCTTCTTCTAACCATCCTGGAGGATATCCAAGTGTTCTCATTCTAGGAAATTTTTTTTTAATACATAAAAATTATGAGAAACACTTGAATTCTCCTATTGACTATATTATTTATTTACATCTAACAAATTGAATATAAATTTTTTTTTTTAATTTTATTCTATGATTTCTAAAATATGAATTTAATTAATTACTTATATATATGCCTAGGTAATTCATTGTTTCTGAGGCCCAATGCCATACGTAAATTGTTACTTAATTGACCAGGAATTATATGACTAAATTTCTGGTTATCTTCCAAGTGATATCTAATAGTTTTTGAATTTGTTTTCATATTGAAATTTTTTCTATTTATTTCTATAGCTCCATAATCTCGTGGTTTTGTACAATCTCTTAAATTATGATTTCCCAAACAATTAAAACACATGAACCTCTGTGGACCATCATCTTTGGGTTTTTCATTTGATTCTGATTTTATTTCATCAAATACATTTTCATATTTCTAAAATAATAATCAATACCATTGAAACATTAGATATTAAACATGACACTAGTAATTAACAATGTAATTTTTCAGATTGATTAATCTTAAATATTTATCCCTATATGTAATTATTGAACATTACAATAAAAAAAGAACAAACCTTCCCATAAGTTGGAACATCAAACTCATTTTTAAGTTTTGGCTGTTTATCTATAGTAAACAATGTATCGCATATTATATCTTGACTGTCATCACTTTCTGTAGTAATTTCAACAGACTGACTCATAGAGTCAGTATCATTATCCCAAATTTCTAATGTTAAACCATTATCATTTTCTTGATATTTATTTTTTGAAGACACTAACTCCTCCAGAAACTCTTTTATTCTTTTATTATATTGCCTAAAAATTTAATAAAAGAAACAGAATTTACTTTATTAAGAAGCAGCAGATCCTGTTAAAAATTATTTAAATATCATTTTAGAATGTTAAATAGCCGATGCAACTTTATGTAGAATCGAAGTAACTTATTTTATCAATTTATTTTATAAAGTAATAATGGCTACAATTATATAAAATAAAAAATTGAAACGAAACGTTATAATTATTGTTGTTATTATTATTATACAAATTGTTTATGTTTACGTTTATTCTGTATATAGTTTTTAGGTTATGTAAACAAGTTGCATCATTTGCTTATTTTACCCGAAAATTTATCAACTATTGTATATAAAAGTATTGTAACAATAGTAAATAACAATTTTTTTTACCGTGAAACATTTTCATCTCGAAATATGACCGTCAAAAGTGGTTTTGACATACTCGGGCTATTGCAAGTTTCTGTTCTAGACGCATTTACTATTATGTTACTATTTGTATCATTGTTGGTCAAGTTGGTTTTATTTGCGTTATTGTCCGATACTGAATTTTGCTCAATTGACCATTCATTTTGATCGTTGTCAGTAACATTGATAGCATCTTGGCTCGAGTCCAAATCAATCACCTCTTCGTCGGTGTCTTCAATAGTAATCATAGGATTCATGGAAATACTATTGACACTAGGAGGAAAACATAGATAAAACTATTTTGTACTGTAAATGTGCGAGACTCTTACGTGTAAAAAATCTTTCTCTCTTTTGACCTTTTATCCCAATGAAAACACTATGCTTCAATGCTTAATAAACCTCTAACGCATCAAAACTTAACTGTAGGGGCGCTCTCATTCGCGTGCAGGTCATATACCTTATGTGTAAAGCACGAAATAGATTTTCTGGAATTTTATTACAATGGACAAGAGGAATTTTAAACAAGCAATTTTTTTTACGGGTAATTATTCCTCATGAATATAAGTGATAATTTCAAATACCATTTAAAACTGTAAAAGACAGAAGTTTTGAAATAAATCTTATATAGAGGTCCTGGATATGTATTTGTGACTTTGATCATAAACGAGGCTTAAGATAGATATAACATCTGATGGGAATTCATATCACATGTTCTGAAATACCGATAGTACGAAAATCGAAGGAACCCAATAGATAAGAAACGTCACAGATTCAGTAAAATAGCGAAAACAAATGGTGTATAGTTAGTTTTAAGGGCTCACTGTAAAAGGAAGATTTCAATTTTCAAGATCATAATTGATATGATTATGAAAAAAATTGTTCAAAATTGATCAAAAACTTTTCTTCGGCTAGACGTTTGAATTTTTACAATTTTCGAGAAAAAAAGTATTTTTACTTTTACATTTGCTGTATGATATAAAAATAAATATCTTTGAACGAAATAAACTCAAAATTGTTAAAAAGACTTCACTCTTTAAAGTAAAATCAAGTTAATTGTTCTACAATTTACGAAGTTATAACAGTCGACAATTTTTCATCGAGTGTGTGAATATTTTCGTTCTTTTCTAAAAATTTCTCATGAATTTTGTGTGTTTGATTTAGATTAGAAGTTTTTATTTTTTATACTCATTTCGTCCGAAATGCGCGCGTACTGGGTTTAAATTAGTTAAAGATTACAGCGCCAACGGTGAAATACGCAATACACTTCCTACGATTCTCGAACATAATCGATATTACAATATTTCTCATAATCGATTCTTAAGCGGGAAGCATGGCGGAGAAAAGCACACTTGATTTGCAAAGACAAAAGTATTATCCAGAAGTTCTCAGGTAAAAATTCAAATTAATTGCTGTTAGATTTGTGTTTGTGTTGTGAATTTCTAAATTAAAACTTACTTTTAGCTTCAATTCATCGAGATCTGCGAGATTACCGAAAAAGTATATAATTTCTAGTCCTCTAAAGTAAGATTTAACCAAATAATTATTACACATAATTTTCAACAATTAAAGAAATATTAGCATATAAACATTTAAACAGAACATACTATGCTAAAAGTTATTTATAATTTTATACCAAAATTTAATTTCAATTCTAACCAGTAGAAATGAATAACTCATTATTTTAAT